TCTTCATGTCAAAGTTCTTTCTCCTCACTCTCTCACTCCCTATTTTCCTTTTATCATCCCTCTCTGTTTTTACACACAAGCACACAGACACAGATAGCTGTCTGACAATATTTGTTTAGATGATTAAATTGCTGTAGGTACAGTATTTCCTTTCTGTTTTAATCTTCCCATGTGGTTCAACCTACGAGTTTTTGTAAGTTCTGGAAGCTGAGAGAGGGATACAGAGAAATTAAATTTGCTGGAACAAAAAGAACACAAGGAGTATCTTCGTGAATCTTCAACATAAATACAACATTCCAGTCAAAAATTTTTGCCACTTTTCCTTCATAATGTTACAGCACAGAATGATATGACAAAACAAGTATCATGGCAGGCACTTCTTTGTACAGTCAGGAAATACAATATTGGTAATGTGTCCAAAAAAGGTTTGGGAGCACACTCTGCAAGAGGAGATCAGGGGATGCCCCATGCTGGCCACAGCTGCTCAAGGCAGCTCCAGTGGATCCACCAGAGCACACATCTGAGCCCTTCAGCCATGCTGCTGGTATATCTGCGAGCACCTACTTTAAAAAGTGCAGAAAAAGCCATAAAATGAGAAGGTGAAAACAAAGAGGATGAGAAGCAGCACAGAGAAAAACCAAGGTCAGACAAGGAGGAGATCCTCCACAGCAGAGCAGAAATTCCCTGAAGACCACAGAAAACCCATGTTGGAACAGGTTTATCCTGAAGAATTGGAGTGCATAAAGAGTACCCACACAGGAACATGGGAACACTGTGAGGAGGAAGGAGCAGCTGGGTGGGAGTTTGACTTCTCTTTGTTTATTGCAGCCCCTGCTGTTCAGCTCAGGATGGGATAGAGAAGTGAGGAGTGAAGGAGTCAGTGTGGGCCTTGGAATGGAGGGTAGGAGAGTTTCTCCCCTGATTGTCACCATGTAAATCTATTTTAATTGGAAATAAAATCAATTTATTTTCCCCAATTATGTTTTCCCCATGAAACAACTGGTAAGCAATCTCCTATCTTATCTCAACCAATGAACTTTCTCAACCTACATTTTCTCCTCCTCTGCTGGAGAGGGGTAGTGAGCAGCCGGGTGGGAGTTTGGCTGCTAGCCAGAGCTAACCCACCACAATGCATTACTGTGTTATGGTGGCATGCGGAGGTCACAGCTGTCATCAGACAAGGAATGACCCTTGACTGTAAAGATTATGCAGGAAGACCACCCTGGAGCAAGACCCAGAATTCCTGTGCCACAAGCTTATGAATCAGCTAGACAGTCACCAGTTTCTCTGAAGCTCTAAAATACATGTCACTGGGGGAAAATGAAACCCTGACATAAAGAAAACACACACGCTTAATTGGTGTAACATATAACATATATGTTACATATAACATATGTAACAAGTAATAACTTCATATAACAAGTAATTACTGTTATACATTGCTGCTCTCAAAAAACTGGACTCCATGGACTTTCTGTGGTGAGATACTGCAGTCAGGGTAACTCTGGCAGCTATGAGCACTCATCAGTTTAAAAATCAGTACAGAAAGAATCCCTTTTCTTAAACTTTCTCTAGTCAATAGCAGAACAGCACAAGAAAATTTGACTCCACTGAAATCATGATAATGGAAGAGAAGGCTGGATTTGAAGAATATTTCAAGGTAACTCAAAACTCCTCTGTATTGTCAACTAATTTTCAGCTATCTTTATGTCCTTAAAAAAAATTTTAAAAAATAACCAGAGATGCTGAAACAGCAGCATTCTTCTCATGCCCACCTTGCCAGTCAGCTTGTCCTTAGGAGCAGGCTTTCCTTTCCTTAACATCAAATGGAATTCAATGCAACTTTAACAGAAACTTCTTAAAGCACCAAAGGAAGAAGAATGGCTCATACTGTATTTGTTTCCTTGGATTTAATGTTTTTAATTAAAAAAAAAAAAAAGCGCAAAAGTTTATGCTTAGAGCTTCATTCTAAGCATATTTAAAGTGCGTGCCCTCAACAGCTGGGGATGAAAACAGTTTTGTCTTATGGGACACTGGGTAGGCAGCCTGCATTGCTACTTGTTTGGGATTGGTTTTGCACTCAGGAAATCTGTCCATCAGCTTTGGTAATGATCTGTGTTTAATCTTCTGAAAAAGAAAACAAGCTCAGATATCTTATGCTTCTCATCTTTACAACAGGTGTATCAGCATGATAAATTTATTTTCTTTTTTCAGTATTTATTGTACCAGAGATATCCTTGCTGCATACTAACGCCCTTTTTTCATGTGAGACTGCAAGTTCATTACACTGGGATGTTTTTCTTAACTTTCACCATGAGAGTAAAAGCACGTATACCTCAGCTTAAACATGTAAATCATTATTTGTCTGAGTAGTGGCAAGAAGTTTTGCTCTAATATTTCACAATAAAAAAGTTTAAAAACACACAATGAAATATATGTAAAATCACTTGTTTATCCAGCTGGACCAGGCCTTTCTTAGAAATTGTTTGAAGTGGATGGATACTCATGTAATTTTGGAAAATGCATTAAACGAGGAAAAAATGTTTTTCTTTTATTATAAGTCAATACCAAGAGGGAAGGAAATACAGTAAATTTTGCCGCAAGCAGTCTCTCAGGGGAGCAACAAAAATTGACTGCTTAATGGACATGGCCTTCAAATAAATTCAGACAAGAATTTATTGAATTTTCTAGGGATATGCAGAGACTGATTGTAAACAAAGAAGTCTGATAAAGTTTGTATTTCATGTAGATTTATATTTAATTTTATTAGGGAGAATGTTTAGTCATAGAAGAAGTCTCTCTCAATAATCAACAGTTTGATTTGGTAATCCTTCTGTAACAAAAAAAATCTTGCACAGAGCAAAGTGCTGAAATGAGAAAGATGTTTCCCATCTGATTAGTTACTGTTTTCTAAATATGTTTGTTATTGAACCTTCAGCACTTTTCTCTTGAGTACTCTTTTCACACTGAGGCTGCTTGAAGGGACTACTAGGGCGTCTGTTTGTACTTTGAATAGACAAGTGTTTTCCAAAACAGGAAAATGTTTTGTTAAGCAGTGCTGAGGTCAGACATAAAATGACAGTGGCTTCTGACTGTCTGGCTTGATGTGGCTGGGAAAACCTGGACCCTATTCTTGATGAGAAGATGAAGTGATAACCTACTCAAAACCTTTCCTTGAGGAGTATTGCCAGGAACCATCATGCTGCACTCTGCAGGATAAATGACTCAAAGACATGGAGAATAACCACTCTTTTGATGTTTATAATGTGGAATATGTTTGTATTGCTGACATTCTCTGTAGTGCCAGTGTATATGCCAGGGTCCCCTGTTGATGTCTGGGAGGATTACACTTCCAGAGAACCTCATCAAAGGGACATCAGATTTCACAGATCTGTCCTTATGGACAGACATTTAATATTTTGCTAATGGCATCATATCACTGTCATCCACAAGTTTCAAGTGAGAAGGAGAGAAAGAGGTCCCTGCATACCCTGGTCACAGCAGAAAGAAAACATGCCCCATCAAGTTCACAGTTTGGGTGTGGGTTTAAAGACAAAAGGTACAAGTGGATAACTCTTATCAGAGAGAGATACTTCTCTTAAAACCCCACCTATCTGAGTGTGTGAGAATCACTGCTTTTACTGAAAAAGAACTTCTGATCCCAGGACTCTGCTGAGTCTTTTCTGTTGGCTCACTGTACACTTGCAAAATGCTGAAGCAATGGGGAGAAAGAAATGCTGGCTTTTGGTCTAATTTACACCCGGTGAATCTGGGACTACTCTTTTATCTCCCTTATTGGCCAGCAAGTGCCTGTCCACTCAGAAGACAAGTAAGAAGAGCTCAGAACTGATATTGTGCTAGTTAAATCCCACAATTTCAAACTATGGATGGAACTCATCACACTGAAATAACAAAAATGGCACTACCTAGAGAAATAAGTTATTTTCAAATTCTTGCCTCCAGCAAGAAGTTGCCCTTTGTAAAAGCAATGGTGATGGGTTTTGTGCAGCTTATTCTATAGGGAGATCATGGGTACAACACTTAATAAATGCAATGCCTAATTGTGAGATGCTTGATCGGGAATGGGGGAGGTAGGAAATAGCAAGTGTCAGGGAATTGTGATCCAGTGTTGCTTTAGACACTAATGCAGCATGCTCATTACATTGTTTTTGATTTCAAGCAAGTTTTCATTCCACTATTCTGTTTACCACCATGCAGCTATAGGATTACATATAGGGAAGCCAGACTGTGAAGAGTCAGAAATTAACTGTGAAAGGATTATGAAAACTGGATGTAATACAAAACTGAAATAACATGAGAAAGGAACTCCTAAGAAACAGCATGAAACCCATAGTGCCATTCATTAAGTGGCTCCAGTGGAGTGCAAGAGTTTGCCTTATGGAGGATATAGCTGACAACTTTTAACTTGGTAATTTCCCTTTAAGGATCAGATAAACAAAAATGTCAATGACCTTGGCAACATGACCTGAATGTCTTAGTTTCACTAGGATGAACTGTTCTTGGAAAAAATTCTCCCCGGTCTGAGTCACAACCAGGTTTTTCCTTCTGGAGTAGGAATGTGTACTGTTCTTCCCCCTGCTCCCATCCCAGCTAGCAACGCAGGCAAATTCCAACTCACTAGTCTGGCATTTCAATTTCTGTAGGGTCTTCTCATGTTATGCCAGTGTAGAAGCTTTCACATTTTTTGTAACATTCTTTTGAAACACAACTCCTCCAAAGCACCTTGCTAGAGTCTAGTGACTGAACTTTGAAAAGGACGGTCTTTGTTCACAAAATGTGCAAAAGTAAATTTCCTTCTCTGTGGCATATTAGAGAGGCCTGTGAGCAGTGATTGCAAAAATTATTACATTTAGGCTTAAGAATACAGTGGCAGAGATATTCATGTGAGAAACAAGGTGATGGACACCACAGCAATTAAACATTAACTATATTGTGCAAAACAGATATTTTTACCTTTTATTTAACAAAAAAAGCAAAACTGTATGCATTCTTCTGATCAACTGCATTTAGTGATTTTTCTGTTTCTTTTTTTCTGTCTCTCTTTCTGCAGGCATGTAGACTGCCCATTCAGGAAACAAATCGTGCAAGTAGTTCACATTTTTGAGACAGTGAATGCCAATGGCAGTGCTTTTAATCATCATTGAAGTGTCCAGAGCACTTGGTGATATGCAGGATACAGATCTGATCCCTCTCCCAGGTCACAGGAATTATGGTTTGAACATTCTGAAGCAAAGAAGAGCTACCTGCTTAGCAAACCAGGAAATTCTGAGATGCCTGGGCTCTCAAACCCCCTGGCCTGATGCTGCTTTGTCACAGACACTGGTCATGTTCACCTCCAGGCTGCAGAGTCCTTCTCTCCCAGTAGCTGTCAATGCATTTTGAGCACAGTAGGTTAAGTCCTTGTGCAAGGACACTGATGTGGTGAGTAGGTTCAATCCCTTTTATGCATCATTGTAATTTTTACCAGGGTTTCAGTCTTCTCTCTTCTGTCAGAAGTCAGACCTGACCTAAGTCAGGCTTAGTCTGACCTTCAGTAACACCATTTTCTCTAAAACAAAGAAACCATTCTCTGGCATGAGCCCATTTTGCATTACACCACTTTGAAATAGTTCTTAATGGCAGTACTCCAGCCAAAAATAATTATGGTGAATTCTCCATTATCTGATGGAAAGAAACAAACATAGCAGAAAAACATGGATGATGCAAGTACCAGGAGCAGTCAGGGAACTAGTTCTCACAAGACCAGCCAGACATAGAAGTATCCCTTCACTGTACCCCACAACACTCCAAACTGGAGGAGGAGTGCACTCATTCATGCACAGCACCTGACCTTAACCGATCTCTCAGTGCACCACATTTCAACAGAGCTAGCAAGCTTTCTAGGAATCCAGAGTGCTCTGCAGCACAGTAGGAGCCAGATGATGCCTGATATGGCATGAACACAAGTGCATAAAATCTGCTGGCGTCATAATGGCAAAGAAGAGCCTGTTGGATGCAGTTTCAGAGGGTTCCACAGTACTGGTTTGGTGTGTGTTGTGCAGAGACAACAAATCTGGCTCTCTAGTGAGATAAACCCAGTCCAAAACTACCCTACACTCTGCATAAACTGCATTTTGCCCAAAGATAATAACCCAAGGAGACAAGATAGGTTCTTGCAAAACCAGCATTTTCTTGTCTTCTGTGACACAATTAATCAGTGGTACAGATCCATCACTGAAAAAGAGTCAAGTGGGAAATATATGGAGAAATATTTTATGCTTGTGCCACTTGATTTCTTGTTGTTTTCTGTCTTGCCATCTGCAAGGAGGACATGAAAGTCAAATAGCACTGTGCTGTCCACGAAACCTCGACACAATGCTATTGCTCTCTTATTACTTATAACCACATCCTTAGGCATCTTGAAGGCTAATTTGCAAGAGTCTGCTACTGGCAATACCTGCAAAGAGAATTAGGGGAGGTGAAAAGGAAATAACAAGTATGAAAGGATGATCCAAGTAATCTAGCTTAAGTGTATATCCCAAACTGCCAAACTTACATACTGTCTTTAGCAGTCAAAGATCTCACATTTTATTAATAGACTCAAAACTTTTAATCATGGTATTGTACTGATATTATAACTGATGCCAAGCGAATAACAACATAAGCCCCATTCTGACCTCTAAAAAAATACTGAAGTTGAAAATGCAAATGTGTCATAGCATTTTTACAGTTGACAGCTATCTATTACAAAGCAGTTGTTAATATTTTTATTCTTTGTAAGATAGGCAACATCAAGAAGGCCCTCAGTGAGGTCTCAGCTAAACTTCAAGTTTCTTCTGTAACACAGTTAAAAAAACCCAAACAAATTCTGCATTTGCCATTAACAATAAATATAAAACAAACTATGAAAACAGGATTTGCAAAATTTTCAGTTGTATTTCCAATCATTGTAAAGTAAACTTTTCTAAAATTATTTGACCATGCAATATTCATTAAAAATAACCTCATATGCTCTCTTTAATCTGTATTGACAGCATTCAAACCACAGAGCACAGTGAAATTAAAGTGAAATTGCTGAGCAAAAAACTCATATTCTCAGTTTTCAGAAACCAAAAGGACTGAGAATAATCTTGAATTTTTTCCGAATTATTTCCTTAAAAAAGTTGTTTAATGTATATACAATGTCTTCCTTTGATTTTCTGAATCAGGTAACAAAGATTTCACTCTTCAAAAGGCTCATGAAAACTCTTGCTAATTCTGGTAACACCAAGTCCTGTACAGCCAGAAGCAGAGCATAGAAGTCTGCTGTAGAACTAAGGATGAGAAGAACTACAAGAAATGTACCGTCCACGCAGCTTGTGAACAATTCAATAAAAGGCAACTATAAATTCCTGTCTGGTGTGTCTAGATAATACCACAGGTATCCTCAGCCAAGCCCAGAAAAAAAGCAGAGCAAAAAATCAAAATACCCAAACCGCCTACAAAATTAAGTGAAATACTGATCTAAATCCTTTATTTTCTTGTTATTAATATTTCTGTTTGTGTCTCCCTCCTGCAGCTCTTGGCAAACACTGAACTTGAACTATTTGGAAAAGCAGTTCATTCTTCCCACCTCATCTGTGCCTTTTCTTAACCCCCAAAGTCATTAAGCTTTGTGGTCCTTGCTGAAATCCTGTTTACCAGTGTTGCTTTGTTACGCGGGTATTTCCAAGTTTTCAAAGGAACTTTTTGTTCCTACAGAGCGAAGTCTCTTCATGTCATGCTGCAGCCAAGTTAGCCAAGGTGCTGATAGCCCCCTGCAGTGAAAGAACATGAGGAGAGTGAAAACTGGGGGAAACAGAGCAGTCTTTTCAACTGTCAACATTTATTTAAATGTAATCATGAAATCTGGCTGTTCCTTGGGCCATGTGGTGTCTGCCCATTCTGCAGGGTGGGGCTGGAATTACTGCTGGCATGAATTTGTTTGGCCTCTTATTTTCATAACCCTTCAGAGCTACACAGGGGGAAAACAAGAGACTACATAAGTACATTTGAGGGCTAAATGTTTGTCTGGCATGCTTGCATCATACAGGATTTGGAAGGGCCGAGGAAATTCTCTGAGCTTAGGGAATGTGAGGTGAGCTGTGTAGTTTGATATGCAGACAGCTGAAGAGATACAGAAAGAGAAAATACTCAAGAAGGTACCAAAAAGGGTCAATATGTGGGGATCAATGTCAGAGGAGAAAATGGGTGAAAGATTGTCTCTGTTGTCTTCCATAATAATGAATTTAAATCAAATAAATAAGAAGTATGAGTTTAGCAGGTGACAGCGATTAGAAATGGCTCCCATGCTTCATCTTCAACTCCTCTGCTTCTCTTCAGCAGCAAAACCTGACTACAAAATTATGAGAATGATGGGAAAGCCTAGAAAACTTGAATGCTGTGGTGGAAGAAAATCTAGAAGATGATTCAGAGAAAGTAGAAGAAGTACTGAAGGAGAAATGAAAGTGTTTTTTGCATGAGCAAATTAGGAGATCAACACAGTGCTTGCAGTTACAAGTTACATATATTGAATAGTAAATCTGTATATGGGCCTCCAATAAAACAAGCAATTAAAAGAGTATCATGGACAAAGATGGATGATAGGTGTAGTTTTTTGGGGACACAAATATATGACTGAAATAGGTAAGTGGCTTAGAAAGGAGAGAAAAAATGCTCAAACAGTACAGCTGGGCAATAAATACAAAGGGTGAGCATGCTGAAAAGTGAAAGAGAGAAAACAAATTGGGGAAAAAGAGAAAGATGATGAGGAAGGAAATTGGCAGTGGCAGGCTCACCACAGAACAGAACATTACCAAAGTCAAGTGCTAGGAGGATAAAGAGTACAAAAATAAAAAAAAAAACCAAAAAAAATCTAAAACCGAAAGACAAAGGAAGATTGCAATATGGGAAGGGAAAGAAGGAAGCAGACAGAAGAACGGGAGATAGTGACCAATGTGACAGTGACAGATTCTTTCATCTATTATTAATACAAAGGGGCTGCTGATCTTGCAAAGTGGCCACTCCTCACACCAAGAATTTGCCTGGTCTCTTTCAGAACATAAATCTAGGTTCCCAGGAGATGGCTCAGTAGACATTTTACACATTTGGCACCTGATGCATTGACAGACTGCACACAGGAGGCCTTCAAATATTTTCAGACCCATCTGAAATGGGTCTGAAATGGAGAATCTCTGACTTTCTTCACTCTTTGGTTGAGTGCAGAGTTTAAAGTCTGTGTTCCAGTTATAATATGCAGCTGTTGTCTTAGTGACATCTTGGCTTAAAAGTATGGGATAAAAACTGATCTAAGTGCAGTTCTTGATTTTTTTGGCTGTAATTAAATTCTGGATCATGCTTTTGGAGATTTTTAAGGAAGAACTGTAAATCAGTCCTTTCTGCTGACATTATTTCTGGCTTATTTTTTTTTCCAATGCTGTTATTAGAGGGAAAAAGACAGAGAATAGGGAATCACTTGCAGCTATTCTGCATGAAGATCCATTTTGGTGGGGCTACTGTGACAAAATAGGAAGAAAAATGTTTGGTAGATTAAAAAATAAAAATCTTTAGCATGTAAATGCAAAAAGAAATGGTAGGAGTTTAAGTCACAGAGCTCAAATCCCTGTGGGGGCCACTTAGGAAGAATTACTTGACTCACAGATTTTAGAGCCAGAAGGGATCAACAGATTGTTAGTTTGACCTACTGTGTAACATGGCCATAGTATTTAATTCAATTAATTTTGCAGCTACTAAAGCCTGTCTTTCCTGAAGGCGGGTGGGCTTGATGTGGAGATTTGAGGGGTTGAAGAACTCAATGCATGTTAACAGTTTCTCCTCTGGTAGTTTATTCCTTCTCGTTTAAAATAGGTTGATCTTATATTTACCTTTATACAGTTCAGCTTTTTTTTTTTTTCCTTTTTTTTTTTTTTTTGTTGTTGTTGCTGTTAAGCTTTTTCTGCTTTGTTGGAAGCCTTCTTTTGGAATAGGATTACCTATTTTCTTCTTGATGTGAAAGATGCTTATGAAATGAGAAGGGTACACTAGGTACAAAAGATAATGTGGAAAAAAGGGCATCCAGGGAGCAGTAATATGAGTGACTGGAATGGGGAACATCTGTTGCACTGTCTCATCCTGAAATATACTGTGTGTATGTAGCTGGGCTCCCCTGCAGCTGATGCACTGCTGTTCCAATTTGCATCTAGGTATTGATAATTGGGGCACAAGCTCGCTGATGGCTGGACAATGTGACAGCAGGGTAAAGGCGGCTGCACTGGAGACCAGTGATTCCAGTTCTTGGGACAGCTTTTGGTAATGGTGGCTGCCTATGTGGGACATAAGAAGAAGGGAAAGAGTGTGAAATGGCAGACTGTGTGAGGCTGCAATGAGTCAGCCACTCCGAGGGGGCTGGAAGAAATGTATAGGCTGTATAAAGGAGCCCTGGGCTGCCCTGAGCTGGAGGCGAGGAGTTCGGGTTTCTGCAAATCCAATTCCTCTGATGTTCTTGGCAGTCAGGGGAGGAAACTCACAGCAGAGAGCTCTGGTGTGTGCAGAGTGATGATTCTCAGGCTGCCTTCTGGGAAGGCTGGCCAATAAACCTGGCTACCATGTCCTGCAACAACAGTCCTGAAGAGGGAGCATAAAATTATAGCAGTGTCCAGAGCAATATAATATGCATCCTTTGTGACGGACCGAGAAACATAAGACTAATGGCTACAGCACTACACAACCATTGACAGAAACAGTTCACATATAGATGTCTTTAATAACCAACGATTTGGTTGTTACATCAAACCTTCTTGCCAATAGGGAGAAATTCAATGCACTAATTAAAACTGTTCTTTCTGGAAGATTTTTTTTTTTTTTTTGCGAAGTTCATCATTTTACAATCTTCATGCTGCCACTTATTCTTCCATTACTCCTTCTAAATACTGGGTCTGATCTTTTTCTGTCCAAACACAAGAATCCTTCCTCCCTCTTACTGCATTTTGTAGCTTCAGAATTCTTTCTCAGAATTTCTCTTTCTCTTGTTAAAGACACTGATTCAGAGGATCTGACATTTTTCCCACATACCTTTGTTAATGATAAGTATTATCAAAGGTATCATAGGAGTATAATTGTGAGATAAACACAGTTGTGATGAAAAAAGCACTAGGTATTTTCAGGTGGTCACATGGGGAAATGTCATTAACACTGTGTAATTTGCTTGGAGTAGTCCAGCCTTGGAACGTGTGGCAGTATTTCTCTTCATGAAAAATGATTGTTGCTTCAGCTGCAGCCATATCCATCTTCCTGGGAAAACTTCCAGCTTCAAAGGGAAATCTGGTTGTACACGTTTGAACTGTGTTCTTAGCTGCAACATAATCTCTTCTGTCTTCTGGTTGTCCACTGGAAACGGTAATGAAAACAAGGCACGCGTTCCTCTCAGCCTCGGTGTAACCTTCCTTCAGGAAAGAAAAGTTACTGAACACAGATGGTAATTAATTTACTGACATTTTTTCAGATGCTTTGAAGATAGGCTCTGAGGGAGGGTCTGCATGCTAATGTGTAGAGCAAAGCCAAAGGGTGGCACCTAACAAGACAATGTCACAAAATTAATACATTGGTCTCCTATGTCTTCACAACAACTGAATCATATTAAACATAGACTGATTTCATGGGCTAAATAGTCAAGTTTTTAATCTTCAGTTACCAAAACAAGTTGTCATAGGAAAATCTTCCTATGTGGAGCTAATATTACTGCTTTACACACAAGAGAAAAGAAATGCTGGTAATGGGAAAGACATGTATCAAACACTTCCAAACTTTCAGAAAAGCAAGCCGGAAAGTAAAAATAATGTATAATGAAATGGATTTCCCTCATTTGTTTTCTCTCCATGAGCAAATGAGCTATAATAAACATTAAAAATAAAGAAGTCCTAGAAATTGATGACCTCTCACCTTTACCCCATCCGAGCTACTTTTTAAGGCATTATTCATACTCATGGTTTATTTATTGTTCCTCTGCTGCTTCCAAGTTGACCTTCAGATAGGATCTCACCCAGAGTTTTGGAGGAAGCAAAATAGAGCAGCAGAAGCAGAAGAGTTATTAGTTGGAATGATGGTTACAAAAATATGTGTGAAATGATTATATCAGGGCTGTTCCTGTCTTGCTTGGGCATAAATATTTTTATTGATGTTTGTCTCAGGCCCTTTGGGAAATTATCAGACACATTGATATCCTATGATATGTTTCCCATGGCTTCTGTATGACCCTTCCTTTTATGCCAGGGTGCCCTAATTGCACACAGACATGAAATATAAATTATTTCACATAATAAAGCCAGTTCTAAGGAGTATCTTGTCCACTATGTGATAGAGTCTGGCTTGAAGAAGATACACAATGGAAAGAAATTAATTTCTGCTGTTCTTCTTTCTCTGGTAAAAGTAGTTCCTGTGTTGTTATTTTTTTTTGCTTGCTAGTCAGCAAGAGTTGATAATGGAGTATGGAAAAGATACAAACCAGAAGAAATTAAGTGTAATTTTGTACCATTTAATTTGAAATAACACAGAGATCTGTACCAGTCAGCTGCAGTAAACCACATGTATGGTATATGTAATAAAGCAAACATTTTTCAGGGTTGTCCATTTTTGCTTTTTCAAATACCTAAACATCTACATACATACAAGCATATGTACATACATACATGATATGCCAATCAGGAATTCAGCTGGAATTTTCTCACCGATCTTTAATATATTGTTGGTATGAATTTATACAAAAAATTACCAAGTTTTATATACATAGTAATGTATTAAAAACCAATCTGTCTTATTGACGGTACTTGTAATAGAAAATGTATTCCATCACTTTGATAAGAACTTTACGTTAAGGATTTGGGGTCAGCTTTTAAACTGGAGTAGAAGTATTGTTTAGTTTGTTTCTCATTACTAATAATCTGAAAACACTTTCATTAATTTAAATAAAAAATAGCAAGATGTTGGGGTTTTTTTCCTAAATCTTGTACTGCAATTACTTCTCTTGCTCTTTTCAGACCCTTGAGTTGACATCTGAGACAGCTCATGTGGAAACAACAGTCTTACCTGTCTATCACCTGAAATCATATAATGGAGAAAAATATTTTTTATTTTCTGAAGACACACAGGTCAATGTAGGTGTTTACAACATGCAAACATATTTTTATTTCTATTTATAAACTTTCTGTTAGATCTGTGAGGCAAAGGGTAACTTAAGTCTTAGCACTTGCTAGATTTTTACTCCATAACTGCACTATTATCCTTTAGTATTTGTTTATCTGTCACATACAATGATCCATTTCGTAACTTCAAATAATTAACAGTCTTAGGTTATAGAACCAGTGATGAAATATTTTTTCTCGTATTTTTCATGACATCAAAGCATTCTGCAAATACAGCTAAAAAGAGGGTCTGTATCTTAATTCTGTCAAAAGGTGGGAGCGCTGTGTCATGCTGACAATAAATTTGGTGCAATACAAATTGTGTTTAATCCCTAAGACAAAGTGCAGGTTAAATGTCATTTGCTTTTAATCCAGGTGCTACTCACTTGGTGAACATTGTTTGTCACAGACAGCATTAAGCTAAATTAACTGTTGGGCTTACTGGTGCTGCAGCACCAAAAGGCCTTGCCTGCTATCATTTTCCTACTTTGCACACTAATGTTTTGCAGTACAACATGTTCTAATCAGACAACCTGATTTTACTTCTCTGACAGCTTTTTGTAAACATAATTTTGGGTCTCAGGCCTGGGAATTCACCTGGTTGAAGGATGTGATTTTGGAAAACCTGTTCGATAGGTTTGCTTCCCATTGGCCTTACCAGCACACCAGGCACACTGAAAATTTCAAACAGGTTCTAGAATTTGTTTGCAGTAGATCTTTGTTGCTTAGCAGAACACTTGCTCTTGGCATGGCTCTACATAAACGATGCCTGTTGTGCATTTTAAGTTTTCACTGAGTGACAACTGAAGTTTGTTATGCAGAAAGGGGCACCATGAAAGCAGTTCTGCTGGCTTGCTCTTGGCACCGCCACCAGAGAACACTTGCCATGGGAATGTTTGAACCAGTCGTGTTTTCTTGTAGCAATTACTTATCATTGTTTCTGTCAGAATTAACTTCCACGGAAAGTATGAAGCTTGCAAAAGTTAAATTTGGAAAAGTGTTGAAAACAGTCTGGCTGAAAAGTGCGGATTTTTGAATGAGAAGAGTGCCTACGTGGGAGATGGATTCAGGACTCCTCATGCTTATCCTTCTCTGCTGCTCGGACTTCACAGTGATGCTATGTGTCCCCACCTAGGTGAGAGGGGAAAGGGACTGAGACAGGGGTCCCTGTGCAAAGATGCAGAGCCTGAGCGGGGTCACTTCCCACAGAACACTGGTGTTCAGCTGATCAGACGTTCCCCTCAGTCGCATTCCCCGCCAGGAAAAGACAGGTTTTGCCCCTAATCTGAGGGGCTCCCCTCAGTGCCCCCATCAGCGCCCGGCGGGCCGGGGGCGGGGCATCCCGTCCCGGTGACTGACAGCCTCGCTGGCCAATCAGCGACCGCGCCGGCGGCACATTTGCATGTGGTGGGGCGTTGCCGCGGTAACGGCGGTGCGCGTGGTGGGCCGGCGGGGCCTGTGCCGCGGGCACGTGAGCGCCTTCCCTCCTTCCCTCCTTCCCGCTTTTCCCCTTTCCTCTCTTCTCTCCTTCCCGCTTTTCCCCTTTCCTCTCTTCCCTCCTTCCCGCTTTTCCCCTTTCCTCTCTTCACCCTCTTCCCTCTTTCCCGCCTTCCCTCTTTCCCGCCTTCCCGCTTTCCCCTCTTCCCCCTCTTCCCCCTCTTCCCTCTTTCCGGAGCGGGCAAACCGAGCACAAGGGCAACAGCTTAGAAGCCCAGCCTTAGGGGACGTGAGAGCATTTTGATCCAAGCGGAGGTAATAGGTGTTTAGGAGATAATGACAAACTAGATGCCGCGGTCTCAGGAGCCTTGGATCTGAATTAGCCTGTGAACTCTTTTTTTTTCTTTTTCCGGGCAGGGCGGTGGAAGAATGGTTGGGCGAGGAGGAACCATGCTTTTCCTTCTCTCCCGAAGCCACTCTTCTGCCTGGCCAACAGGCACGGGATCCTCTGCGCTCACAACCCAGTTTTGCTAGTGTTCACCTGATTTCCCTGCAAAGATGGTACTGACAGTACGCCTGGCCTGGGCCTCAGTTAGCTAAGGTTTAAATAATGCAGTCCTGTGTCCCGTCCTCATCCAACTAAAACAGTGCTTTCCCTCAGTACCAGATGGTCAGATTCCTGCAGAGGTCAGGGGCCCACTTGTAAATAAGGAGAAAGGTCAATCAACAAAGGTTTGTGTGACTTTGTATCCTCAGACCAGCTAGCTGCTAATACATTCATGTGTGTTAGTGCTTACTATGAGGATAATGCATTTGTCTCTGGAATTTGTTTTTGCAGACGTTTGCCTGGCCTGGCAGAAATGGTACGTGAGCATTTACTAGGTCAGATGTTCTGACTTCTTGGTCCCCCGCTCTTCTAGGGGAGTGGACTGAGTTCATTTATGTGTGTGTTTTAAGGGGCAGGAGAATACAATTGCAGTACTCGTGGCCAACAATGTGGACATTGAAAGGTAGAAATAATACTTTCTGTAAAAGGCAGCCCTAACTGGCACATAATTGCTGATTGTCTTATATAACAAATTATCTCTTTCAGTTCTCTTCCTGGAAAATACGTGGTACATAACAATAATGAAAAGGTTTACTAAAAATCCATTTTGTTTTGCATTGTTTTGTTTTGTTTGGAAAGCTCAACAGAAACAGAAAACTTTGCTGTCCAAGTGGTTTATCTTAAAGCTTACTGCAAAATTTATTCTTAAGGTACTGTAACTGAACTGATTGCTCAAGTTACAAACAAATACCATGTCCTTCATTACAAATTTATATATTTTACTAAAATTTGCTTTTCTAGCTACTTAACTCGGTATGACATTGATCTGTAATAGAAGGCACTGGTTTATAAACAGGTAAAATTATGGCTACACAATAGGGAGCTCAGACATGTCTCTTTTTAAGCCACATTATATTTCAGGCTTATATTCCATATGTATTTTTGTTGGCACGTGTAATTTAATCCTGCTCACTAAAGAATTATAACACAGAAAACAGGACAATACAGACCAGTGCTTCAAATACAAAGTGAGTAAAATATGTCATTAAACATGTCAAGTTACACATCATCAGTACCCACGGGTACCGGGGAAAACTTGACCTTTATCCATCACGTCCTCTCGCACCAGTTGTAAGTCACCGTTGATTTAATCTGAAGGAGAAAACCAGTAATATAGAATAATGATGATTTAAAGACTTTTTACAAACAAGAGCCTTCAAAATGAGTGTTATAATGCTGTTAAGGCTCCTGCTGGACATGATGAACGTTCTGATAGCCCTCCTAGCAAGCTGTTTTCTGTAACATTCAGTAGGCAGCCCTTTCTTTTTTGTGCCACTACATCATGAGTTCTGCAAAGTATTAAGATGTGCTGCATTATTCATGCAAAATGCAATAAGTATTTAATAATGTCTTGTTAGGTTTTCCTATTTCACAAAATAATTGGAATGTCCAGAGTTTTGCTTTTCTAGACATTTTCCACTTAAGATAATCTCATCTGCTGGTCTAGATTCCTTCAGTTTCTCTTCTGCTATTTTTGTTCTCTGCTCATTATTTACTTCTCATATTTTGGTAGCTGGTCTGTCTTGCTGAATTTAGTAATTTCCATGGTAATCAGATTAAAAGTACCAAAAACCTTAGTTATGGGATCATTTATCAGCAGAAACACTTTTTTTCAGTTCAGAAAAATCAATCTATTAATTATTTGATTTACACTGTAAAAGAACATTTACCCCTTTAGATTACTTTATCCTTTATAATGTAACTGTGTTACTGCAGTTTATTGGGAAAAGTTGTCTTTCTATCACTGAATCCCTTTATACTTCCAGTGACAGCCTGCACATGTGCAGTGTCATCCTTTTCTGATTTCCACTGACTTGTGTCAGTTTGTACAAGCTGACATTCTTGGCTTCTATTATTTTTACTTCAGACTCATAACTGAATATGCATTTATCCGTACACCTCATAAGGATGAGCCTACTTTCTTGAAATAATTGCATAGTCATCATCCAGATCCCTGGGAAAAAAAACTGATTCTGTGAATATGACTTCCAGAAATGGAAATGCTGAACAACGACACTTGAGCTATAAAGTACAGGTAGCTCAGTTTGAGCTGTGTAAGCATACTTGCTTCAGTGTCTGTTTTCCCTCGTACTTCCATGCTGTGGGCAGGATTAACATACCCAATCTATTCATTCTTTGCTGCATATCTCATATGCCATCTAGGATTTGCAGGGTAAATATCACAGATCTATGCTAGTAACTGAAGATGGTTAAGAATGTGATGTGTAAGTATCCCCATTGTCACCCAAACTGGGAATTTACCTGCTGATTTTTTGCACAAGTGTGGAGGCAGTAATATTATTCCTTTGGAATATGAGATGAGTGTATCAAACAATTGTGAGTAAAACAAAGGAAATCTTTACCCTCATAAGTTGTAATGCATCACTAAGTAAAATACAAAAAACAAGGACACTGTTTATAGAGCATAAAGCATGTCTGAGATTTGAGAGAATGGTGTTGCTGAATTTTGAATGTTAAAAGTTTTTGACTGTTAAAAGTCTGAAAAGTTATTTTTTTTCCACTAGAAATATTTCATTTTTTCACATATATTTTAACTAGTAGTAGTCATAATTTCTTCATATAATGTTATGATTTCAGTCAAATCAAAGGAATTATTTCTTATGTCTGAGCAGAGGACAAAGTAACATGAAAGAACTACTGGGTCTCTAGAACCAGTCTCTAGCTTTCTCTGGTAACAGTGTCACAAACTTAAATAGAGCTAATTAAGTAAACTAAATATAGTTACTGCATAATTTTATATAAGGTCTTCTTAAATGCCAAGTATATGCTGGCTGCTGTTGATACCAGGGACTTTTTGATAGACCCATTAAGTTTCAGGTAGGAAGATAATCAGATCCGAAGAAAGATGTGGTCATTTCATTGGTCAGAGGAAAATTGCAAAAAGCTTTGACTAGGTTGATTGTCTCATTACAAAGAAAACCTTAAATAGTTCTGTATAAGAATTGTATAGAAACCTCTGGATTATGTATTTTCCTTATGTTTTAGTGGACCTTTGCACACACACATACACACATGCAGACACAGGCTCAGCAACATGCACAATTTCTCTTTTGTGTATGTCATACAGGGTATGAGTGAGGAAACTTCCACTTTTTGTCTAACCAGCACTTTAAACAGTGGGAAAAATGTTCACTAGACGATTCCCAGACAGTTCTAGCTTGTTTGCAAATATCAGAACACAATGGCTTTTTAACTTGGCCTGTTTGTTTTTGAGTATTCTTGTACTGTCCTCCTGTCTGGCTGCATCCTCCATCCTCTGGGCTGCAGATCGCATGTGGGAAAAGGTACAAGTGCACCTGATCCTCTGCTGGAACATGCTCCACACTTTCCACTGTTTCTGAGTGTTCATTGCTCCTTAGACATTTAAGCCAGACTGCTGTGATACTAGATGCTGCAGACTAACAAAGTCTGGAAGCTGACAGAACTGAGGTATGTGCCAATATTTGGATGTTTGGAGCTTGCAAGTGTTTTCTTGAGATAGGAGGATGCATAAAAACATGGATCATGCTCAGCTGTGAAAAGGTGAAGCATCTTGACACAGTAAACTTTGGATTTTTTACATCTCACTGGTATTTATTTAAGTTCTATAAAATAATAGATTGTTCTTTTCACATGACTGAAGGAAATGATTAGTCTCTCAAAGTAACCAAAGGAGATTCCTTCAGCCAGAAACTGTGGAGAGAATGTAGTGCTGAGCTGGAAAAATGTGAGGTTTTTAATATGTGGTTAATTTGCTAAAAATATTGTTGGAAACATAAAAATGTTTTTTCCTTTTATCTTTCAGTGAGAAACAGATCCAACAGTAAGATACTACAAATTGTCCAATATTTTTGTCCAGCTTACGTCTGAGTATTTTGTCTTAATGGATTTCTAAAATGATTTATAATTGAGCAATATAAAACATTTAGCACAAGAAAAAATAAAGCTCAAGATGTTGGTTTAATTTCATTTGCTTTCCCTTAAAGAATAATAGGAAGCCTCATAGAAAACATTTTATTTGGAAAGAGCCTGAAGCAATGGTTTCTGGCACTCAACACAGGTTGTCTGTTTGGTCCTTTCTGACACCTATTTTACATGTAAATGTAATGAGAACCCAGGAAAGTAGAGAAAAAAGACTTACCTATATCTTGACTGTAAAATTAGGGATCAGACTTAGAAAATCCTCGACTGATTCATTATTGGGGTGCTAAAAAATCTAAATTTCATTTCCTTCTTTTTCAGACTTGCTATGTTATGCTTGGCAGATCACTTATTTCATCTCTCTATATCTTACATCCTCTTATATTGAGTTTTCTCCTTTGTCTGTTTACACAGTCCAGCCCAGACTGAAAAACAAGGATCTTTGTGTCCCCTTGTAGTACAAGAAGCTTTTGCTTATTGCTTCACTTAAAGCTATTTGAGACATTTCCAATTTATATAACAGTAAAGTTAGGCATTACAAGTAAAATCTTTTCATTTAGGATACTTGTTAATTTAATCCAGTGTACATAAATCACCCTTATTAAATGACCCACAGAACAACGTAGTGTCACAAACAGAAAGCTTAATGTTCCAAGCACTGCGTGGTGGACAGGCAGAATAAGTATACAACACTGAGTATAGTGTTGAAGAAAGGGAAAACAAAGGGAAAACTCAGAGTGAAGTGGGGTTTTACATAAATGGGGGTTCACACAACCAAGAGTTCTTGAATCCAGGATAATGAATTAGCCAGTTCCTTTCTGCAAGCTAAAATTAGTCTATTCTTTTTTTTTGGCACTGACAAATTGATCTGTAGCTCAGCTTGTGCCAGGATTTTGTATATGCCATTTGGACCCATATGTTTTCCTCTTCATTTATGTGTCTCTGTAATCTTTCATCCTCTCCCTCAAACATATCAACCTATGCAGACATTCTCATAACTCTGTTATGGGGCTCCTGATTTTAGTAAGCGCTGTACAACTATAGATAACCTCTCCAAAGAGCCTCCTGGATTTAAGCCACTGTCACCTGAAGCAAGTACTCCATATAAATCCTTCTCAGCTTTATCAAGCACTTTTAAAAAAAATAGCAAAGTAATTGGTTCCCATTGCTTACTTCACTCGTTTATAGTCTTCCTGGAAATTGTCTCTGCTTTTAGATGCAGTCAAACATGTCTAAGAGGTTCTTGGAGTATTTTTGACATGTAAACTTGAAAGCTCTGTGGCCTTTATTTTAGCTCTGTTTATTTGGTGCAAGGATTTATCCTTCTGTGCTAGCAGATTAGAACAGTGACAGTAAACCAGCCATATAGATTAAATAGAATTTACAGTCTGATACAGCTACACATGGAAAGGCTGTCAGCATCCATAAACTGTACAAAAACAGATTCTGCCAATTCTCACAGCTGTTCCTGAATTTTGTCCACTGAATAAGTGTGGTTATGTCCTGATAGTAGGAAGCTTCATGCAATGTGTTTTTCCATAAGGTAAATTCTGTTTTTTTTAGAGCTGGGAGGTCTCCGTGTGGAATTCTAGCTAAGTCAAAAGCAGCAGTGTTGAGGATTCATTGGAAACAGTCGGTTTAATCCCCCAGCTAACACAAGCATGTTTTGTTCGATTCAGTCAAGGAATCCAGGCTTATGAAATGACCTTATAATGGTTTTTGAGGAATTGTTTACATGAGAGAATCAAGAGAGATGAAAAACAGAGAGGGTCGCTCTTCAAAAAATGGGCTGCATACAGGAAATAGGAAACGTATGTGTCAACTTTGCTTCCAAGTTCCAGCACTGACATGAAACAAGACATAATGAAGACTGTTTTAGGGAAGAAGTTTCCACTTCTATAGGTTGAATTACACATGGTGGCTAAGAGAAGGCAGCATAAGTGAAGCATTGTTAATGTTTTTGCTGTTGTTGCAATAATATTATTGTTACAATTGATTAAGTGAAGTTTAATAACTGTGTGCAAGATTTCCCATTCCCACTTCAGGACAAGAAAATGGTGTATGTATTGAGCTGTTTGTGCTCTCATCATTCTGTTCTATTTTGGTTAGACTGAAGCTCATATCCTGATTCTAAACTAGCCATAATATTTCATTTGCTTTTAATTACATTGAATTTCTCCACTAGTTGTAAGTGACCTGTCACTGCAGTTCATGAAATTGTTTTAAAGTATTGTCCTCAGTGGAATTGCAGAGGAGAGAAATGTTTTCCCATAGCTATACGCAATGATCAACTGTACCTTCCCACTTTATTAAAACATGCTGCAACATTCTTAAAAGAAAAACATAAGAAAGTTTTATGTTTTGAATTGTTAAATTCCAGTCCTGATTTACTTCCACATCTTTACCACTGAGCTTGAGAGAAGATTTGAACTGCTCATATGCCTTTTCATTTCACACTGAATTTATAGAAAGTTTCCAAATAATAACAGTCAACTTGGCAGGAATAAATGCAGACCAAATGGTGTAATCCCCACAAGGAAACATAATTCTCTTATGAAGTATTTACAATAGCAAGCTTGGAAATCCAACAATAGGTTATATTGTTAATAGATTGTTTATAGCATCTTTTATTGACGGATTCATTCCTAATGGCAACAGATTTAGTCACCTAACATTCTTCGTATGGCAGGCAGTTCAGTGTTCACTGTTGCTTTAAGAATCCTCTCAGGTACGAGAAAGTTTCATTCTGACATAAATCAATAAATAGGACGTAAATAGGACCTTGCAAAGTTCAGAAGTTCCTTGAAATTTTACTGAACTTTCTGATGCTCTCTTCCTGTGACCTGCCAATAACCCTTATCTCTACTGCCTTCATGACCCTTTAATGTTTCCCTGGCTCTCCATTCCCTTCATCCTCCTAAAGAGCTTGGCTACTTCCCAACTTGGATTCATCCAACAGGCCACCCTCCTTGGAAACTCTCCCAGTCTTTGAAACAGCCTTGCAATACAGTAGCCTAAATACTATTTTTCACATTTAAATTTCACATACTGCTGAACTTGTTATTTTGGTATCTGAACTAAAAATTCCAGTGCTACAGTTTTGTGTAACCGTCAACACACATTATATACACCTGGAACAGCTGATAGCTTCAGACATGAGGGAATACTGCAGCCACATACTTTACTGTTTTTCAGCAGACTGCAGTTATCTAATACAGTTTTGGATGAGGTGTTAACTTTGAATGCGCAAATTATAGTAACTCTCAAGAATTTTATTTTTAACAGCTAACTACAACACACTTGCTCACAGAGATTTGTTCCAGTACAAATCACAGACTGGATCTGATCTTCTTCACATTTTCCAGTTTGCCTACAAACAAATACAAGCTTCACAGGAATTTTTTTATAAAAAAGAAAGTATCCCAAGTGTGCCAGAAATATGCAGCTTTCTGAGTATTTAAGCTAGTAGTGTCAGTGCAGCAATCTAAATATTTTTGTGTGCCTGGCAAAAGGATGACTACTCATGTGAACCTGGTGACAACTTGTTTTTTCACTGTTGCCTCTGTACTTAAGATACCCCCTAGAATATTTCTAAGAGACTAGAATGAGCTCAGTTGCTTCTCAGTGACACAGACAAAATTTAAGTTTGTCATTTCAAAGGTAATGACAAAACTGTGTCATTGCACTTGGGTATAGAAAAAGTCAGCCTGTGGGTTCAGAGGTGGAACAGAAAAGGGTGAAGAGGCTGTTGAGTGGGAACAGAGTCTTCAGAGATGACATGGCAAAAAAGCAGTAAAAAGATCCAGGTTGGATGGTTGCAGGAGAGGAAGTGAACCAAGACACCAAGATGACTGACCAGTGTGGATATATTTGTGTTTTAGGAACCCCCTATAAGTTTGGAAGGATTGAGATAAAGTCTGGAATATTCAGTAAGGGCAAGATGACTTTAGCCAGATATATGTTCTATTACAGATAAAGTAGATTGTCCTTGGCAGTTACCTATCTATGCAATGTGCTAGTTTGTTTTTTCATTTTTCCAAGCAATTAAAACAGTAGCCTCCTCCATACATGACTATGGTCTGAATTATATTTTCTTATCCTTGGAGGACCAGCACAAAATATTGTAATAAATGAACATTTAAGGGATAGAGCACAAATTTGTTTGTTTACAGGAGCAGACTGTACATTGAAAAACCGAAACATATTTAGCACTGTCTGGAAACTAAACAAAAGCAGTGCCATTTTTCTCTCATCCAGCATGTGCTTCAGCACCCAAAGCACCTCAGTAATCCTTATTAAAAAACATGCTCTGTTTCATTAATAACGCTTTTGTACTGGGAGAATCAAGACTGGTCAGAGAATTTGAGACGCCAATTCAAGTGCTGAATTAAGGGGCTTAATAATCTCCTTCAACCAATAGACTGACTGGGAACACTACTTTCTGACTGTCCCTTTGCAGATTGGACTTTGACATCTCTCTACTGCGGGACTTTTTCTTGTGTCTCTGAAGACAGGGAGATGATGTTTAAGTATCAACTTCAAAGGCTTATAAATTGAAGACTGCCCGAAATACTAGTTCTGTCAGTAACTGAAAATAAAGCATATTGATTACACACCAAACCACTTGCATCTTAACAGCTTCAGTTTGTGCAAACCCATCTGTTTTCATGTCCTTCATGATTTTACAACCACTGGGAGCAGAATTTAAGATTTATATTGTTCAGCTGCTCACTATGGATAAGAATATATTTGATGTTATTTATCTGCTATTTAAATATATAAGAGATTAATAAGTTTAATTGTGCCTTATGATAAACCAGTGGTTGGTAACCTTAACTAGAGAGAACATATTTATTAATTTGTACTAATTTCATTTATTTCAGGGTCCTGTAAGAACAAAAGACAAAAGGAAAACTTACAGAAGCCCCCTTTCTCTACTGAAACAGCCACTAGATTCAGTGTTCCAGCTTTGAAGTCCCTAATATATTTTGGTCCATGAAAATGGATTAAGAAGATGTAGAATCATTCTGAATAACTTTCCCAAACTCTTTATGCTTAGGAGAGAGAGAAGTTTCCTGAAATGTGATACCCTTTATGGAAAAAAATGTCAAGAAAAAGAATGTGAACAAAACTTTTAGTATTCTATCAAGTGCTGAAGTGTCTCTAGCACCTTGCCTTTAGATCGTTTCACCATCTAATGTGCCAAATCTTCCCAGAAGTTTTTCCAAAGTAGAACATCTAGAAGCTGGAACCCAGTAAAAGTGACTAGGAACTGCAATAGTATCACAATAGTCAAATTGTTCAGACATGTCTCAGGCACCCTTTGCAAGAAGACCTCCCTTCAAGGTATGTTACATCTGTGGCAGAGAATTTGGGTCACATTCTATTGCTATACATGAACCTAAGTGCCTAGAGAAGTGGCGCATTGAGAACAATCAGCTACCAAAGCACCTTAGAAGGCCAGAGCCCAGGAAACCTGAGGTCCTTACTGGTTGTGGTTCCTATACATTTACAGATGAAAATGAAGCAGCTTATTATAGTGCTCAAGCCCAGCTCTTGCCCTGTAGAAAGTGTGGCCGAACCTTTTTTCCCGACCGTCTCCCTGTGCACGAAAGGTGTTGCAAAGGGGGCAGCAGCCGTGCAAGGCAGCCATGCGCTACCGCTGGTAAATGGGGTAAAGCACCAAGATCTGGAACTGGCTCAGGAAGTGGTGAACTATCTAAGGCCCGTCAAGGAACGAGCAGGGCTGCACCAGCTGTATCAGACCAGGTAAATTGCTAAGCATGTGCTGTGTGAAAGGGTGTGTATGCATCTTAATGCTTGGCACTCCAGGGGAGACTGGCTTGCCATCAAATTTAAAATCACTTTTCTTCAGAAGCACCTTTTTAGCTCCATGCAAATGTTTTTCTGCTAAATAGAAGATAAAAGAGAAATTCTGGGAAAGGAATAAGGGAAACTACTTATTCCTATTTATTTTGATTCTTGTTTTGAATGGGAATAGTTGAGTTCTCTGTTGTCCTTTAAGAGTTATATCCCCAAGAGGGACCATTGCTTGATATAGTTCTCTAGGAGATTCTATTGAGCACCTTAGGCAAGGTTTGGATATCATATGTTTTAGGAGATGTTAGGTATTTTTATTTACTTAACATGAAATGCTATGTTTCATTGTCCTGCAAGCATGCAGTACTTCAAAACATGATTTTCATATTTTACTGTTATTCTTAACCTTGGCATGCAACATGAGTTTACTGAGGACTTCATGTTCAAAGGCAGAAGTTCTGGATATAACAACAACAAAATAAATAAGACTGCACATTTTTTTCCACTGAATTTGATTCAGGATCCAAGAATAAAGAAGCTGATTCACATTATCCAAAAGCTACACAGAGTTTTGGAAAATGGGATTTTTTTTTCTACATTTGTTTCTGCACAAGCTGTCTTTTGGCCAGGAGTTTTGTAAGATAGATGTCTAAATTTATGCTCAGTGTCCAAATTAAATGGCCTTTTTTTTTTTTTTTAATGTGGGTTGGAATTCTGATTGCCTACACTACTTTTGAAAATGGGATTTATCTCCCTCAGTTGCCAAAGGAATGCAATACTATGCAGAACATTTCTTAAGATGCTTTAGAAGGCAAAGTATGTAACATGTTAGTTTACCAGTTACTGAGTAAAATTAAAATCATAGCATTACCCTAGCTCACATGAAACTAAAGACTTCATGAGCGCTTTGTTTATTATGCTACATAAGGCCACTAATTGATATATTTTGGCAATTTAAGATTCACTTCTCAGGTCTTTTATCAGCAAATTTTACATAATCCACAAGCAGTTCAAAGTGCTGCACAGCTGCATTTATAGCTATAGGAAAAGTGATGCTGTTTACAGTACATTGTGCCCTTTCCCAAAGAACTCTCATTGCACTAAAGGTGATTGTTCAGTGAAAGGCATGGGTGTGAAGCAGAGAGTTTAATTTATCACATAATTCTATTGAATAAAAAAGAGAGGGTGAGGGCAATTTTCTATAGTTACGATACCACTGAAAAAAAGGCAAAAAAAAGAACTTCAGAGTGTGGTTTGGCACTGACAGTGACTCTGTAAAAAATGTTACCCTCTTGCACAACGTATCTGCTCCCTTTGTGGATTCACTCACATCTGCTGACTTGTTGAACAACAACATTATTACCACTTTTTACTTCTGTGAGCTCTGCAGAGCCAAAATGAAATCTGTTCAAATCTGTTCTTCCTTCTGTATGAACAACAGGTTTCCTCATTTACTTCCAAGCAGTTACAGTTCATCAGTTCAGCAGCAGAACTAATGAGGCTGTACAGCTTGCAGTTTGCAATTGACTTTGAAGGACTTTATTATTTGACTTTCTGGAAGGGATAATGGATTTTACCTCTCTGGGGTCTATTACTGTATTATTTTTAGAGCTGTTCTTAAGTACAGAGTTACGCATAAAAGGTAAATATGAGATGGGAAGATTGAAAGAAATATCCTGTGATCCAAGGTGTTCTTCAGGGCTCACAGGCAGCCTATAAGAAGTTGTCAAAGGAAACCACTTTCCTGTAGGTTTAAATTTTCTGTGAGAAGATCTTCATTTTCAGTTGAACATTTTGAAAGGTCCACACATTGAAGGGTGTGGAAAAGCATGGAGGTTATGGAGAAACTGCACATTAGTTATGAACAGGGACAAGGTTTGTGTCTCTGCTAAAGTCTTCCACTTTTTCCAGCATATGGTTTTAATTTTGCTCACCTTACCAGCTGCTCAGCTGCTTATTAATTCTGTTAAAATATAGTGCTTCACTAGTGGTGGAGTGAAATGGCTACTGTTTTGGTCCTGGCTGGGAGGCATTTGGGGCAGTTCCTGTCTCATCTTACAGATTTACTCATTGTGACAGTGAATTGTTTAAGTTCTTGCTTAAAGTCCTGATTCAGCAGAACATCAGAGGAAAGAAATAACTTAAAAATATTACATATTAAATATTACCCTTATGTAAGTGTATTTAAGAGAGGTATTGTGAAACAAATTTATGCAATGAAAGATGCCTGAAATGAAAAAGCTGTATTTTCCTCATTTTCAAAATAAAGTTTTGAGTGATTTTGTGGTACATCATGTGAAGTGCATTTTGACTTTACAGCTGCAAGCACTTCTCCCTGTATGCCTCTGCCTGTATGTCCTGGAGTTCTCTCCTCTTTAGCAAGTGCTGCATCACCTAGGCCAGTATCATTACTGACAAACTCTGTTCTGCATTAAATGTCTTTAGAGGTGGAGACTAAACCACCTCTGTAATCTGTCTCTTCCAGTATCTGTCCTCTCTCTCAGAATCAATGAACACGTTTGAGTTAATCATGTCTGATTGTGTAAAACGATAGCCTGTGCTTAGAGATTCTCAAGGGTCATCAGCTCAGAAATTCTGCTTTGGATTCTGCTGTGATACCCCAAACAATGGAAGTGGTGTCTGCATCTACTGGAACTCAGATGTGCACTAAAAGAATCTGTGTTCTATTGTTTCATAGACAAAAATGTGTGATACATGTAAGTGAGCATCAATAACTTGCTGTGTGTATATGAGTTATGGGATAACACATAACTGACAATATATTTGACAATAGATAATGCTGATCTTAAAAGCCTATTAGATGGTGCTGCCATCTGCTGTTTTCTTCTTATCTGGTGAACTACCTTAAAAGATTTCACTCATCTTCCTTTGCTAAATTGTAATGCATTTTAGCACAGTGTAAGTCTTGAAAATTTGTGTAGCAAGAACATAGATGTTGTATTTTGCTGTAGCATAAAGTCATGTAGCATCTTGGTAAAGGGAAGACTTCTTCAGGTGCAGTATAATTCTAATGAAGATGGAAAGTAAATGATGAGCTTTTTTTGTCTCATTGCAGTAGTTCTGAACACCTTCGTAGGAGAGTACTGACAAATAAATTTGCAAATATAGAAAGTTAGATGAGAACGGACAGTGAATGGATGGTTTGAATGAAACTTAGTGAGTATTATCATTGTGAATGACTGGGATTCCTTCCTTTGCTTGTACATGGATGCCATATTTACTGTACTGACTTAATTTAAAAAGAAGGCACATCAGGAGCAAAATGGGATATTTCATGCTTCCAGTAGAGTAATATTGTTAATTATATGCATCATCTTGCAGAATTACCTTGCTGTTCAAGGCAATTTCCTACATAGGCATATGATCCTAATGTAAGTGCTGTTGTGTCTGATTCAGAGATTTGGTAGGCTGTGGAGTGCAGCTTTGGATAGTCATAAGAACCATGCTATACCTTGTCTATGATCCTTATGTAAAATTCCTTATACTTGGCAGAGAGGAATGTGTGGAGAGGCCTGCTTTCATACAATAGAATGCTGCTGCTAAGTGCTTGTACTGATCTTTTCCTGAGCCTCTAATCCTTGGGCAATGCAAGCCTATGACAAGAGCTCCGTCTCAGAGCAGGATGCCCTGCCTCTTCCCATTAAAATACATGGATAATTAAACAAATAAAAAGGGCAGAGCTGTGTGCAGTGCTGGATGATAAATATTTATGTAGGGGAGTTTGGGATTCGGTCTTATTGTGTGTACTTAGGAAAAATAAAAAGCTTTGTGCAGTATGGAAGGATTTGACCTCATGTAACACCATAACAGCAGCCTGGGGCTAACCTTAAGTAATGTCAGGTTTATTGAAAATACATAGTTGCATAGCCCTCGGAGCTAAATAACTTCATTCATAGTCACGCAGACATACTTAGCAGTCTTGGAGTAAAAAAGAAAATACTGAGACACCAGAGGAAAGCCTAACTACACTGTTAGGTATTTGTAGGTATTTTTATAATAACACATATCCTCAGGAACAGACCTTCCCTACAACCCTTTTTTAAAGTTAAAAACAAAGCAGTGAACAGACAGCCCAGCCACTGGCCTGTGAGTAGTTTGGGTTGGAAAATTGTGGTGTTTCCAAAAATAGTTTAGTTTCAAACTGCAGGCCTCCAGATGTGACATTTGGGAGAGGAACACTGAAAATAAAAAGAAATGAAGGGTAAATATCATCAGCTGTAGAACTTCCAAGTAAAGTTTATCATATCTTGGATTCCACAGTAAAAAAAGAAAAATCTGTTACTACCAATTATTAGGCTAATCTCTTTCAGGTTTTAAACATGTGTGCAGAGAAGAATTTTTGTATATAATTGTAGGTGTGGTGATGGGTCAATCTCATGATTTTTCTGGAATAAAAATGATTCTATCCTAAGAGTGACCTGATTCCTCTAAATTAATTCTGCTTTCTCCTGATGTTTCTGCACCATTTTCAACTGTGGAAATCACAAAAGACAGATATTTCTACTTGAAAAAATTTATTTTTCCAATTCTGTTAGTATATGAAGAGTCCCTACAAACTGAATGTAAATCAAATTGCTCTTCCTAGTTTTCAGCCAGTAAGTACCCATTTAAATGAACGGCAGGAACCTAGCTAATGAGAACATATGGGGAAAGTGTGTTCTCAGTGATTTTACACCTAGCATTTTTTTAAGAAACCATTATTAAAATAGTGTAACCATACCCACACCAGGCATGCCCACTAAAAAGAGTTCTCTCGCCTCAGGAGTTTAGATTGTAGTATCCTCATCTAAAGCTCTCCAGAGCCTACAAATAAACATATAGTGTCTTCAGAAGACTTTGTATCTGGACTCAGAGTCTTACTTCAAAATCAGACAAGTTCTAGCTCACTACTTGAAGTAAAGAAGTAAGTGAAATTTGATAATGAAGAGTTATGAAGTGTTTTTAAAGCAGCTGTTGTTGTATTCATCTTAAAAATAGGAGAAGAAGGCTGTATTTTAATATATATTAGAAAATATGCTTATATAAAATAGTGTTATCAAAGATAGTAAAGAAATTCCATTTGAAAGTCAAGAGGATGAAAATGTCCTTGGAGAGCCTGTCTTTGGATGTTATATTCCAAGACACTGTGAGAACTTTCCAGATGATGTCCAACTTTTCCCAGAAAAATACACTTTATAGAATAGTATTTCTTTCAGGTAAGTGAGATTGCATGTGTGATACAGGAAGGCAGTCTTATGCAGATTGTTCACTAATGACATTTTCAGACTGTAACATAAATACAAGAAGAGCTGCCCAGGATTTTGTGAACACATTGATGGGCTGACAGACAGAGTCATAAATTTGGGAACAGGTATGCTTTGTCTTACACAGCAACAGAGGAAAGAATGAAACCCCCACCACTCTTGTTTGAGTGAGAAAGGTTTCCCGTATTTGGTCTGGCATGGCTGTCTGTCTAACTTGATGAGGGCAGGGAATAGCTCATCTCTTACTGGTATTCTGCAGTCAGAAGTGTAAGAAGTGCTGGCAGTTGTGAAACCCATCTGTGTGCCTCTAAGTTCTTCTCTACAGCATGTTTTTATCCTGCTTCCTGGAGCACGGCTGGTACTGACACCACGCCTAGCCCAAGACACGCCTAAGAACACTGCTGAGTCCATAATCTCCAATACCACAGTAATTATACACTTTTTCAGCCTTAGATTATGTCTTTGTGAGGTTTGGGGTTAAGGAATCTTTTTCTTCTGTTGTTGAGCTGTTTTTCTCTGTGAAGAAAAGCAGATCTTTAGTGTGGAAACAATGGCTTTCTTGGAGTCCAGTTCTGCCCTTGCTGCAGTAACTGGCACAGTTGACACTAAGGCCTTTGGGACAAACAAACAGCAGTTCCTATTTTGCCCCTCATCCTGAAATATCCTGGATTGTTTTTAATCTTTGAAGTCCAAGAATTCTACCAGCTAACTGATCTGTGGCAAAAGTGGGATAAAGAATCACAATCACCTCTTGGGAGAGCTGCCCTTGCTATCCAGATTAAGAGAGATACTAAGGCTGGACGCAGCACTTTGAGCTGTGTTCTGATGGAAGATGGAGTCTTTCTGTTACTCAAAAGTTCAGCTGATGAAGCTTTTGTTGCTGCTTTCCATTTTACTTCTGCTTTGTAAGTAAAAAATGGCTTGAGCCATTTAAGGTGGATGCTGCATTGCAACCCAGTGAAGCAGACATGTTTGTTTCTTTATGTGAAGACTTAGCATTTTCATGAACTATGAAAATAAAAGAGCTGAAACTTAATATAGCTAAGTATTAGCTATATTAAGTCACACACATGAATTTTCAGCCCAGCATCTGGAGAAGAATCCTGCCTGTTCCAGGTGGCCAGTTAATGAGGCAATATCTTTTGCAAGCCTCAGGACTGATTCCAAACAAAACCAGACTGAAATAAACAGTTACACAGATTTCACAGATATCAGGTTCCTTATCTACACAATTGCTTTCATACAAAGTCATTCTGACTCAAAATTAATATTGAAAACAATATTTTTTCTTCTTCACCATTGTTATTTGCAGGCAAAAGTGATAAGACGACCACCAACGGTGATTTGCTACATATGTGGCCGTGAGTATGGAACAAAATCTATCAGTATACATGAGCCACAATGCCTGAAAAAATGGCACCAGGAGAATGACAACCTCCCCAAGCACTTGAGAAGGCCAGAACCCAAAAAGCCAGAAGTCAGAACTGTGCAAGGTAAGCTACAGACCAAATTAAGAGAGATGAGCAAAATAGTGGGAGGAATTAAAAAAGATAACAGGTAAACAGTTTGCAAGTAGTTTGGTCTCCAGTTTACTTTCAAGACCTTGTTCTGCTTCACAGAAGGAAGGCTTAAAACAAGGTCTTGAAAGTAAAAGTAGCCATTATCTATGGAACATAGATAATGTCCCTCCTGGGACATTCCCCTCTATGTGCCAATGTGTCCTGAATCAAAACACAAGTAGATTAGCAATCTGCTTCATAGCTACATTACTACTTTTTGTCTTCTTTTAACACTGTAGACAAGAATTTCTTAAAATGGGCAAAACCATCCAAGAATAATGTGCAGACATGACACAGAGTCATTAAAATAAAACACCCTCAGGGAACATAGGTGTAGATACTTCAGCCAGATTCTTCTACAGTCAACAGCCCGTTGATGTTATTGATGCCTTTTAATTTACAAGTCTGAGAAGCTTCCATTGTGAGACAGTGTAATATAAACACAGTGGAGAAAAAAAATATATGTAGTACAATGTAAACAATTTATTTTCACCAATTTTACGTGTTTGTGCTGTGGGTTCTGCTTTCTAAGATTCTACTTCTTTAAATCAATGAACACTGATAATCCCCAGAACCCACAGAGGTGGGCTGTCATATGTATCCCAGAGTCGTATGTTCACTGTAGGATGAAAAGGAATTCTTACCCATCCAGCCTGGAAGCTGTTCCCAGGACTTCCTTATTCCCACATAAAGTTATTTCACCTTCCCTGCTGGATGCTTTCTCTGGCCCTGCCAGCTGGTCTGAGCTACTTTGAGCCAAGTTTGGACCACTTCCTCACAGGCATTTAATTCACACACACTTTTTTTTATATTCCCCACAATTTCCCTCAGCTTCCCATAATGTCTGGAAAAGTAGACAAAGTCTCCTACAACTCACTTGTGAAAGAGTCATACACTAGATCAGTTTACAGCAGTACAAAGAAATATGTCCTCAGAAGACATGCAGAGGAGAGCAGGATCACTGAGAACACTTACCAGATGTTCAAAATAATAATCGAAGTCCAAATAATATAAAATCGGAACTTGGTTAACAGATGCCAAGTGGCATAGTTGAATCTGCAGTAAAAGATGTGTTCAAAAGACATCTTCATTGTATTTGCTTTTTTAGATGTTAAGGACTTTTTAATTATTACACATTGTGTGGTAAAACAGATGGAGAAAATGAGAATTCCATATGAAAGAGGAGGATGCAAAAAGGCAAATCAGGTTATTTTGAAATTCACTATTCTTATTTTGAAGGAGTGGAAGCAGAAAGTCAACCACTCTTTGAGAAAACAATCTAGCAGAAGGCTCCCAGATATGAATCAGAAGGTTGTCTCATTTACTCAGTGAGTCATATCAGGCGCCTCGCATCTCCTGTGAGGTGTTGTGTGCCCACGGTTCCTCTGGGGATACTGACCTGCTTCCAGCATCTGTCCCTAAATGCCTGCTGATGCAAGCCTGATCAGTTATTTAGCTTGAGCTAAAAATGTTGTTCCCCCTGCAGCTGCCTCACACTCCTGGCCTTGAGAAAATAATCTCAGTGTTGTTCTTTTTCCATAAGACTTACTCTTGATCATGTGGTGAATGCTATAACTGACCTTCAGACCACATGCATGTACTGCATGTCTCACAGCTTCTCAGCTTGGGGAGGAGGGATTACCCCTGTTGTTGAATGAAATAGACAATGTACAAAAAAAACAGAAATATTAACTGCTTACATAAAACTTTTTTATAACTTACATAAATCTTTTTCTGAAAACTCAAGTGTCATGGGAAGACAACCACTGCCCTCATTACTCAGTGTTTTGTTTGTGGAATGCCTAACACATGCCTGCAAGGAGAAAGTTATCTCTCTTTCTCCCTCTCTTCTTTCTTTTTTTTTTTTTTTTTTAATATTCCATAAACTTTCTAAAGTACAGAAAATACACATTCATTTCCTGCAAGCAAAGGGGATATTTGTCTCAGCCAAGAAAAGAAACACTACTTGGTTGCTCTTCTAACAAAAAGAACATTAGGAACAGGCATATTAAGAGATCTAAGGCTTATTGTGGTTATGTGAACCATTGGATATGAATCATATTAAAATTGTATGGGCCTTTAATGAAGAGCTCTATCATGTGCCAATGACAGAAACCATGGAATATTTTTAAATGCAAAAATCCCTTTCTTTTAAAAATTGTCCACTTCTAGCAGTTCAAAGAAAAAACCCAGATTTTAAAATCTTTTTCTATATTGTCATACCAAATAAGAAGGGTGAAGCAAATACGTCTTCAATTTGAGCCATGTAGATTTTTTTCTGCATGCACTTCAAATGAATATCCTTAAGATCTAAATCCAGGTATTAAGTAACCTGCCTGGCCTTTTTGCAAATCAGTTTGAAACAACACTATGTGAAAATCCATTACAGAAGGAAAGTCCATTTCAAGATGAAAGTAAACAAGGTTTTTTTGGGTTTTTTTTTTACCCAAATCAAAGCTTGAAAACACATCTGAATGTTTGAAGAATGCTCTTGAATTTTCAGAGCAGTCATTCTTCCTGCAGTGGAGAATAACTGAGGGTAAGGCTGGATTAATGTTTAGATGACAATAGATGTATCAGTGCAATGACCTCACAGGAAGTTGTGGCATAAAACTACTGTAGGTTTTGTCTGTAAGGTGTTAGGTTTTATCTAAGATTTACTCCACTTTTTAGTATAACTTACACAGACTCCAGCAGGGAGAAAATTTGGTCTCTTGTCCAGAGCAATACAAAGAGCATATTCTCAAGTACAATACACTTACACCCATAGCCATGGTCAGATAACACATGCTTGTTAAACAGAGCTTGAAGCAAAGCCAAAAAGTGAATTTGCTGATATTAGTATGTATGCAAAGATGTTAATAATTAGCTGAGAATGCAGATCATAACACACAGCATGATGTTTTCTCTGTACTCATACAATACAAAATGATTCAGTTTGAAGTTAATTTAATTCAACCCCTGGGACAAAAAACAGAGTCTTTTTTATATATTTTTTACTCTTTTGCTTCTTTCTTTTCTTTTTCATTTGCAAAAGCAATATGGTTTGGTTAAACTGAAAGGCTCAGTCAACAGGTATTTCCTGAAAATATTTTCCATAAAGGGTTGAATGTGGGTCTCCAGAATGAAAGCTGATACTTTCTTTTTCTAATTTTCCAGCCAAAGGTTTCTATGATCTTGATGCTTTAAATGAGGCTGCCTGGACCAGCGCCCAAGCCCAGCTAGTTCCATGTGATATTTGTGGGCGTACTTTTCTTCCAGACAGACTGATCGTCCACCAGAGGTCCTGTAAACCGAAACCTGCAAAGTGAAGTGGATATAACACACTTGCATACAGTTGCATGTCTGCTCACACGTACACAGGCAGACACACACATTTATCCTAAGCTAATAAAGCGTGTGTGTGTGTGTGTGTGTGTGTGTGCGCGCGCGCGCACATGAAGGCATACACATGCAGCCATACCTTTCAGACAAACCATGAAAGAAATAAAATTCATCTGGAGAGACATGGTCATCAAAACTTAATTGTGTAATGATTTAATATGCTCCAAAACTCTCCAGAGTGAAAATCAGTAGTTGCTACTAAAGTGTAAAGTCAAATACAGAATACAGTTCTTTGAAAATTTTGCTTCTCCTCTTTCAAAGACTCTCTGGTTAGTGTAAGGACCTTTGAGCCAAACTTGACTAATCAGAGAAACCAAGTAGCTCCTTTAAGTTTGTTCATTTTTGTTTGGGTTTTCCAGGTCGTTTTTTTTTGTTTGGAGCACTCCAGTGTTCACATCCTTGTGTAACTGCATCTCATGAAACCCTTGACTGCTACAAGTGAAACCTTCCCATGTAAAGGGATCCAGTTATGTGGTAGAAGCAGACACAGGCTGTTTTTAAAAAAAACCTAGAAGTGCCTTCTTTTTGTTTAAGAGTGATACGGACCATCTGATTTATTCTCATCTCAGTAAACTGATCATGCCAAAAAATTTATACGTCAGGGAAGCATGTCTTGGTTATGAATGTTGTAACAGAAAACATTTTAATATCAAGACAAAATAAGCATGATGTGCCAGATGGCTGGCATTAAATACCACCCTGCCCTCGGTACCAAATATGAGAGAGCCAGTGGTGTCTGGAAGGGTGGGTATTACACAAGAAAGCCATGGGGAAGGTGTTTGGAGGTGCTGTTTTGAAAAATGCTCTTACATTATGTAGAGGAAAGAGTGCCAAAACACATCAGTATAGGAATAGGCTAAACACATGAAGGAAGTAATAGTCCCTTTTACAAGGTACTGCAGAGAGCAATTATTATTTTACTTACTCTGAAGCATTTTATTAAGTGGTGAGGTTATTCAAAAGGTATGACAAAATCCAGTACAAGTTGTGAACTAGCAATCTAAGCTTCCTGATATCATGAAAGAAACTGTACCTTATGTATGGGCTTAAGGTCTAGAGTTGTCTGTTATGTATTATGTGATTGATGTGATTTTTCTCAGAGCATTCACACTTACTATTGCACTTACAAATCAGAGGAAGTGAATGCTTTCATACACAGTAAAATGAAATATGGATACCAACAACTTTTCTTTTCCAAGCTATCAAGCTGTGTGATTTGTGGAATAAGTGAAACAAGAAGTAATATCTTTGTTCTGTTATTAGAGAAATGCTCCTGGCTTCAGCCCTGGCAGGCTGTTAATTCAGACTGGAGAAGTACCAGCATTCTTTGGTGAAAATAATTCCCAAAACAATCAATGATACCTCAGCAGCCCTTTCATCTTTGGAATGAGGATTGTATGGTCTGAAGATAGATATCTTCAGGAGTCAAAGGTTCAGTTTCTGTTCCACAGAACAAAGCTGTGTAAACCATGCAGATCTGTTCTTAGTGTCTCCAGTGTAAGAAGAGGTGCTGTCGGAGCTGGACCAGCGCCACCCCTCCTCCTTTTGGCTGGGAGAAGGCATGTGGCCTGAGGACAGAAGAGCAGGGGGACTAGTTTGTGATTGCTAGGCTGGATCCTAGGAACTGCTGGCTGGCAACATACACTGGGAGCCCCTGAGGCTGTTCTAAGTCATACCAAGTGCTGGCCCACTGACAAGTGGTTTGGTAATTGGAGGATTATGGATGGCATACCATCTCACCTTTGTGTCCCCTCCTCCTCTTCTTGGATTACTCTCTTTTCTTAGATACAGTAAGCATTTTTTTGCTACAGCTGCCTCATTGGGTCGTTTTGATTCACTACATCTACTTCAAAAGCAAAAACATATTTTAAAGAAATTAAGCCTTTGCAGTCACTGCAGTGATTTGCATTAAAAATTCAGCTCTGCCTCTTGGTGAGATTCTTATTTTGGAGTCCCTGTGTTATTCTGAAAGTTGGACATAGTCTCTTGATGATTTTAAATCTGTCAGAGATTTCACCCAGGAGACTTATTCTGTTTCATTGTCAGCTCTACACGTGTTTACTTTTTGGTTTCTGGAATTTTTTCCCAAAAAGCAGTAAAATTTGTCTGATGAGCTGAATGTTTATGAATAATAAAAAAGTGCCAATATTAAGTGTATATTGTGTCTTACCCAGAAATACCATTGTATGGGAACTCCTGAAGCTATAAGCCCAGAGTATATTTTCCGCATCATCTTTTAAAAAGGAAATGAGGATCTGACAAATTAAGAGCTGTCTCTTCTAGTAGGTGATTGCTGGTGAGTTCTGAATTGAATGTGGGATTTGAGAAATAGTGAGCCTTACCACTCACGGAGTCAAGTCAGCATTGGGCTGTGAGGGCTGATGGTGAGACCAGTGCATGCAGAAGCTCAGCTGAAGCCTACAGCCCTCAGTAAGATCTCAAGGGTTGTAGCATTCAATTCCCTCCACAACTTCATGGGAACAATGAGTTCCAAAATATGTAGAAATACAAAAATCACTGACATAGGAGTGCATATTGCTCCATTTCAGACTGTCACTCACATCCCAAAGTTATTCTGTCACAAGCTTCTCTGGTGAGCTCACCAGCTCTGGTGTGTGTGCCGATGATGATGATGATGATGATGATGATGATGATGATGATGATGATGATGATGATGATGATGAGTTCAAAGCAAGCTTTGTTTACTGGGAGAAGCACTGAGAGTGCCTGCATGGTTTGCTCTCAACAGAGTTAAAATGAGATCTTATGGGCATTTCTCGTTACTGCTTGCCATGTGTCATTTAGACTTCTTTTGCAGGAGTGGAAAAGGAAATGAGAAATTGAGCTACTTTGCTTCCTTTGTTTCTGTACTTTAGTGATTTGTCATTTAACGTTATCTCATCCACTGTTGGCTCAATTTAATTTCCAGCTAAATCCCCATGTTTCCTACTGCCACTGGACATTTAAAGAGCTGAAAAGTATCTTCTGGTACTTCAAAACCAGTGACATTTCATCTAGTTTCCCACAGTTGTGCTGATGGCAGCTAAAACTATTCCTGGACAAAATATACAGAAAGTCAGGACATGGATTGAGAAAGTTCAATCACATTAAACAAATGAGCACGCACTTTCCCATCGTGAATAAAAGCCATGACTTACGTTTTAATTCAGCCATTTGAACCTACCAGTTTCAAATAAAAAATGAGACATTTTATAAAAGCAAATCAAAAGATCATAGTCAAGCTAGAAGAGTTTAACTGCAGACGCAAAAAACTGGGCATTAATGAAAGAATAATTGCAGTTAAGTATTATATGTAAAGTGTTATAATGTATGAGTTGGGAATGTCACAGTTACCATACAAACTTCAGAAGGTCCTGCATCTTTAAGGGCAGTAGGTAAAAATGCCTAATAGGCCTGAACAAGACAGTTTCATGGACTCTTTTCTTAGGGACTACTAGGAGTGAATTGACCACAACTTGAGGAACAAAAGCATTTGTAAATGTAATGTCAGTTTCTAATTAAAGATAGTGAGCACTTATATGGATCTGTGACTTCTCTGTGCAGGCCACAGACCTAGAAAGCATATAGCGCCATGTAGAAATGAGGTTTTCAGTACTGACTACAGACAATTTGAGTGCTTAAGCTTTAGTCCAGGACTTGTAAACATCATTTCTGAACCTGTATTCACTGAAACAAATCCTACGGTTATATATGAGAACAGGATGATAAGATGCTAACACATGTATGTGTCTTAATCAAATTAGATCATGCTGTTTTTTATGATGGCACACAAGCTCTCAAAGCCTATGTTTGCTTAACAATAGAATTTAATAGTTGAGAATTTTGGGTTTTTTACCCAGTTCATAGAGCTGGTCCATGAAGAAGGAATTCTGGGTAGTCTTTTGCCTGAATTAATATTTTCTTTGAGGGTTCTGTGATTAGTTTTGCTTAACTGTCAGTGGGGATAAGGCTTCTGAATTCTTTATTTCTGAACTGTGTCAACAATAGTGGGTACAAATGGGTTTGCTGTATTTGGAGACATGCCACCCCCAGCAACATGGTAGGATGTGCAAAAGCAATATTCAACAGGGACATGAATCCACCCTAAAACAAAACCTGCAAGCCTGGAAAACCCACCATGCTATTACTGTTTATTCCTTGGTCAATATCGTAACTGACATACACAGAGTATTGTTGGCTCTGGAGCACTCAATGATTATGTACTCCTCCTAAATATATATTAAAAAACTTCTGTCATTTTCAGTTGAAGAAAAAGTTTTATAATCTTCATAGAGTCAAGAAGACGGAGTTCAGAGCAGGAAAATGACAAGTGAGACTCCAGGAGGCCAAACTGTTTAACTTCTCAAAAAAACATTGAGTGCCTCCCTGATAGCCTGTACATATCCAGATTAAAGAGACTTCTTTCCAGAAGAAAACAACTGAACAATTTCCAAGCAGGAATTTGTTGCTAGTCAGATTCATAAGTAAGAAACCCAGAACTTACAGTTTACTGAGATTATCAGTTGATTGTCTATGGCAGGATTTGGCAAACAGAATTTTAAAACAAAACTATGCATAGGTCTAATATTAATAAATTTAAACTAGCCTTGTATTACAGTATTGCCTGTAGAATATTGGACTCTAAGATTCTTCCAGATTATCATGAAATATAATAATTGACACGTATTTTTCAGGACAGAAAACAGTTTGCAGAAGTTTAAGAAAAATATTGCAAGTAACTAATGGTATCTCTGGGTTAGGTATTCAAGAATTCAAAGGTAGCAAGTAAAAAAAGGAAACTGAAAGATGGATGTATTTTAAAAACCATCATATTTTAAATGCCATCTCTTCAAGAAAGTGGGCCCGCCATGAAACATGTAAATAACAAGAGTGAACTGCTTCTTAAGGTAACAGTGTTTGAACTGGCTTAGGATTTGTCCTTGTATTTGGAAGCTGAATCAGACTGCCAAGTCAGATTGTGATAAGGAGGTATTTAGAGCAGCAGTGAGAGATCTCTGGACAAAAAAATTGAAGATACAGTCTCAAATGGAAGATAAACTGCCAGTCTCATCAGAAAGAGGAAATTTATTTCAAAACAATTAAGTGCCTTGCCTTCCTTACTTTCTCTGGCACGTTAAAAG